GCTTTGATCCAACAAAGCACTTAAGCACCTGCTTAACTTTAGCAGTGCGAGTAGTGCCATAGACTTCAATGTGAGTGCTCCTGTGATTAAAATGAAGCAGGTACATAAGTGCATCGCCGGGGTGCTCAGAATCCCTTAGAACAGGAGAAAAGTGTGCTGAAGGGCTATAATAGAGCCAGGCAAGGGCATGCAGCTTGCAGGACAGTCTCTATTTTCTTGCATTTAGTAATATAAAAAAAATCCCAACTGAACCACAAATGGGAAAAGAGAAATGAATCTTTTAATCACTCCATTAGATAATCATTTCCTCCTCTTCCAATGTTTAGGGTGTTGTGGTCTGTCAGGACATCATCAAGGTACAGCATGACAGTCTGCTTCAGCATTGTTCTGCAACACTGAATTGTTTGCAGTTATTTGCCGGGCAGCCTTAGTACAAGGGTTAAAGAAGGTTAGGAGACGAATACCAGCAAGAAGGAAGTGTAGAGGGAAGAACAGTGTCAAGAAAGAGGGTTGTGGTGTAAGGAGAGCTCCATATATTGTATAAAATAATCATCTCGAAAGCTGTGAAGTGGGACACTGTGATCCCCCCAGGTATCATTCTCACAGTATATGTCATCACTATCCATGAGCTTTGTATTCAGGTAAATGAAAGGGGCCTGTCATTTGTCCACTTGTATTTGCTATGTGTGTGGCCACCAACAGAGGTCATCATTAGAAAGTCAGCCCTCTCCCACAATTAAAATAGTACAGTTATTTTCAGTTCTGTGTTAAGGAACAAAACTGTAGTGTCTCAGACACCACTATGTGGTAACGGTGGGTAAATGATGGCCAATGTGTGTAATTAGAATCAAGCGCACTACAGTTTAGATGGATATCATGAGCTGGCAGCTGAAATATGCTCAGTGCAGCTAAGTAGCTGGGGGAACAACAATGCCTTTATGCCACCTTCATGGCTCCACAATCATGCAGCTAGCCAGGGTAGTCCCAGTTCCCCTGGCATAATTTAGAGCAACTTCAGGGTTGCTCTAATTTATGCCCAGCTGCACAAGGCCATAAAGGGTTTGTTTAATATCCAGGGATCACCAGAGCACAGTGTTCCGCACTGAAGCTGTGAGGAGGCAGCAGTGTAGAATCACTACAGTATCTGAATGCAGCCTAGGGATTCCCTTACTCAGAGTTTCTGGCTGCTTTGCCCCATTGAAATGAAGCTGAAGATCTGTCGTCATATCCATTTTAGGAACAGTTTTTCATGACTGTGCTTTACATCTTCTATTTTTATTCTTGTCATGCATTTTCAATAAACTGGATTTCCTTTATAAATCTGGGTTTACTTCTTTCCTGTATTTTATTTGTGTTAATCCTAAAAGTAAATCTATCTTTGTCCCCTTTAACTTGAATATTTGATGTAATATTTGCATTCGGGGAAAAAAAATCTTTGATATGGTCTTGACCTTAAAGATTTTGAAAGTCAAAATCTGCATACCAATATAATGCCTGATCTCTGCTGCTGAAATAACATCGACTGACTCTCACAATTAGGCAATAACTCTTGTCCATGTTACTTTCTTTGCAAAAAAAAGGTAATACAAAATCCTCACTGCAGATTATCTAGAATAATTTAGAATCCTATATTATTATATTGCTTTTTACAACTCAGAAATGAAAAACTGTTTAATGAAAAAAATTAAAAGATATCATAATAGCAATCTCATATCAGTCAGTCATGCACAACCAATTATGTTATATTAAAATCTGAAAACGGTGCCAAATAACATAAGGGTCTCTAGCTGTGGTACCTAAACTAAAGTTCAGCATGACTGACAGTCTAGTGGTATTAGTTTGCTGCTATATTTTCACCCCTAGACAGTAGGCCAAATATTGGTCTGATGTAAACTGTTTGATACTCCATTGAAAACAACAGAGCAGCACCCACTTACATTAGGTCTGAATTTGGCTCCAAAACTCCATTTGTTGTTATTGACCAGTGTTTGTAATTGTTGCTTTGGATACCTTGAATTGATTTTACATGAAATTGGAATCATTCCTCATACTTGGAGCAAGATGGGCCAGTCAAACCAAGATTGAAGTCACAGGTGTAGCAGTATGAAGAAGAATGCACTAGGTATGGGATTGGATTGCTCAGAGCATTGTAAATGGCATATAGTGTCCTTCACCTCTGTCGCTAGTTTTAATCCAATACCCTTTTTGGACTGTTTGAAGGCCGATATGAAATAAATGTGGTGGTCTCCTACTAGGTGTCCCCATCATGACAGCTGGCATTAACTGGCACTCTTGTTGGTGTTCTCAGCACAGTTGTACGACTGAGTAGGTCAGCAAGGCTATTTTCTCACACCTAGGGTATGTCTATACTTACTTCCTGGTCCGGATGTAAGCAATCGATCTTCTGGGATCGATTTATCGCGTCTTGTCTAGACGCGATAAATCGATCCCGGAAGTGCTTGCCGTCGACGCCGGTACTCCAGCTCAGCGAGAGGAGTACGCGGCATCGACGGGGGAGCCTGCCTGCCGCGTCTGGACCCGCGGTAAGTTCGGACTAAGGTACTTCGAATTCAGCTACGTTATTAACGTAGCTGAATTTGCGTACCTTAGTCCGAAGTGGGGGGTTAGTGTGGACCAGGCCCAAGATGCGGTACCTTGTAGTAAGGGTAGAGGCAGCTTTGTGTGGTAGTTTGGTATAGTGGTGGGGAAGCTTGCACTGCCACTTTCTGTGCCTGGGCCATGTCTGTTCTGTAGGTAAGCAGTAGGTGTGAAAAATCAGGACAGGGGGTGGGAGGTAATAGGCACCTATATAAGACAAGGGCTTCCTTTTCTAGCACTGTCAGTACAACACATCTTATGAACACTGAATTAAAGCACAGCCAAAAAGAATATGGCAACTTAGACGATAACTCTACATGTCCTGATCACAAACAAACACAGTGACAGTGGATGAAAGCCTGGTGCCCTTGATGTTTTTGTCATTTACTTTAGTGGGGCCAGTATTTAACACAGTGTGATTACACTTTGGTGTAAACTTTGACAATTTCTACGTAGATTTGTATTGTCACCCCCAATTACTGGAGAGATGCTTTAATTGTGAAGTGCTCATATTTTGATTAAATTTACCATTTGATGACATTCTAATTTATTGCAGCTCTTGATTCAGGTTGAACTGAGTAATCCCTTTTAAATCATAGCAAAATGTGCAGTCCTAATATGAAAGGAGACCACAAACTGCAGTCCAGCTGATATCAATATGTAGCAGTTTAAGTCCAAACTAAAACAAACACAAAAGTTCAACAAGGACTAGTTGGGGCAGCTTTTACACGAGTGAGATAATTTGAAAAATCTATACATGTTCCATTCTACTTCCAAACTTACTGTCATTCTATGAATGAAATGAGAAGCTGTGCAGGTAATTAAATATTTGCCTTGGGGAATTATTTGCAGTTAATTAAAGCCACACACTTTCAGTGCATACCTGCTCTGCAGATTATTAAATTTAGATCAGATGTTAACTACCCGGGTTTCTCACTTATCCATCAAAGATTGTTCTCGGCAGGTTTAAGGAACAGCGTTCTATGGTGGCACTCTGTGCTATTTTAGAAGAAGGAAATGTGTGGAAGTGGCGCTCTAATATATAAGCAACTTTTCTCATAACTCTATTTGTTAAGTTTCCTTATAGGTATCTGTCAGCATGGGCCAGTTTTACCACCTGGCACAACTTTGGGGTATGTTCTCCTCTTGATACATATGCACACATCCTCTCTTATTATAGTGATCACTGGCATTATTATTATCTCAAGAGGCGCATTTACCCCTAACATTTGGAAATTTTCCATTTACTTTTGACTCTGTGGCCTGTGCTAACAAGGGTCAAATGCAAAGCTGTGCAGATAATGATCCCCAAATGTCTCGGTGATGGGTGGAAATAAAAACATAGACTTTATGGGCCCAGTTGAACAATATACCACCATATAGTTCTATAATGTTATTTTCACCACTATAAATGACACAGTAACGGTGTGGGCTGTATTGCCAAACATTTTCCTTCATATCTTACAACATTATGCTCTATTTGTATGTTCATTAGATCTGCAGCTAGTGCAGAAGAATGGGAGTTCAGACTCTTGGTCTATTCGTTCTTATGACACTGGCTCAGTGTACGATCTTGGACAATTCACTTAGCTAGTCTGGGTCTCAGTTTCCTCATGTACTAAGCAAGTGTACTAACATCATCATCATCAGGACTGAAGTCTGGGACCACGGATGTCAACAGGACTTTTGCCATTGACTTTAATAGGGCTACGATTTCACCTAAGATATGACAGGGGTTAATGTTTTTAAAGTGCTTTGGGATCCACACATGAAAAGTGCTGCTGTAACCCATACACCTCCTGGGCATGGTGTTCTGGCCCATCTAGTGGCACCGAGACCACTTAGAGAGAGAGATTAATGAGTCTGCTCTTCAGCCTTAGCTAATAGCCATATCGCTTTTAGCTCATGCAGTAGAGGCTCTCGTACTAAGCTCCAGAGGTCCCCAGTTCAATCTCGCCCGCTGACGACCTGGGTCTGTCGTGTTACACTACTGCTATTCCAAAGAAATGGATAACATAGTTAATCAAGTAGATGGGTTATTTTTCCTGTTATTGGCCATATCTTTGTATTATTTAGCTCTTTAGAAATTAATTTTTTGATTCCACGCTGATTTTCTTATATTTTCTTTACACTTAGCTCCTTATTAGAAGTCAGTAATGCAGACCACGTAACACTTAATAACTGTACAGTTTCTGAAATTAATTTGAGCAATTTACATCTGTGCTATGTTTTTTTAATTATATTTAATATTATGTTTAAACAAAAAGAAATTCCATCAGAGTAATTTAATACCAAATATGAATCCAGTATTTTTAAGTGCTGGATTCAGGTGTCCTAAGTAGTTTTCAGATTTTGCCACCAGAAAACAACTACAAGGTTATTTTGTTTGTTGGTTTTATCAGATTCCTCAAAAGATTCCAAAGCCACACAAGAGAATGACCCAGCACATCATGCAATGTGTGAAGAAGATCAAGATGAAGGTAAAGTTACCTGTTGAAATTCTTTAAGATGCAAATAGTGAATCAATTGGGAACTTAAGTTGTTTTAATTATAGCATTCAACTTTTTCACCTGTGACCTTTGTTGCCTCAGAAAAATGTCTACTATATAACTAGTAGATGTTATATGCCAATCAGTCTTGATACTGTAGTCTCTAGTGTTACTGGAAAAGGAACAGGCCTCCAAATAACTTATTTTAGCCATGTTGATTCTGGGTCACCTCAGAGCATTATGTTTTTGTTACCAGAAGCCTGCTATATTGGTTTCATTGCTTTACATAACTTGAGTGTCAAGTACAGGTGGTTTGGAACAGCTGCTAGTCCATACTCTGGTGACAGCCAAAAATCTTTGTCAGAGAATGCTTCAGAGCTCCCAATGATAGACAATTAATTCATCATGGCTGAACTATCAAAATCAGTATGCTCACAAAAAATAGAACACAATAGTCCAGAGTTTCCATTAAGTGTGGTCTATTTTGACTGCTACTTCACACTAAATACTAATACTGGGGAGGACTTTAATATATTTTAAAGCTATTTGTTTTTAACTTTTATAAAGTGATCCCAATGTTATAATTGCTAATTAGAAAGCAAGCAAGCAAGCTGGCTTCAGAGAAATATGCTGTATATTGGTTTTGTACCCAGTTTTAGTGTTCTATCTTCTGTATTCACAGTAGTATCCCATTGATGTTATTTCCAATCTTTGATGTTAACAGGACCACAGGATGTTTCCACAATTGATGAAATGAAAACTCAGACAGATTCCCAGAGCTCCTGCATGGAAACAGAAGGTATGAAAAATGCTGTATAAACAATGAGTAAGATAACAGTGACTCGTGGCTAATTATCAACAGAAGCTATGCTATGGCATTTGAGGTAACACAGTTATTTCTCTATACTTAGAATGCCACATTCATTGAATTGCCCTTCCTTATGCCAGATCCAAATTTGGCTCACAATAGGAAATAACAGTGGCCTCTCCAGTAGCCCTTGGTGGTAGATGCTGACTTTTTAATGGCATCCATTGTAAAAGTAAAAAGTTAAGGGCTAGATTGTGCAACCCCTACCCATGACAGTGAGCACTTAGGTCCCTATCATGCCAGGTGATGAACGCTCTGGTACTAGTCCAGCAAAATATTTAAGCACATGCCTACCTATAAGCATGTGATTTCAGTGGGACTAGTTAAGCTTAAAGTGAAGCATGTGCTTTACTGGAGTGAGGCCAGAGTGCCCCTTGCAGGATCGAACCCATGTTCACAGGAATAGTCCCTCAGCCTCACTGGCACTGCTTACATGAATACTCAGCAGTGTGAGAAGGATTCTACAATCTGGGTCTATGCTGATCTTTTCAGTCATGACCACTGTAGCATATATTAATCATTTTATTCACCATGAGTTCTGAACAACAAACTGTCTAACTTCTGTTTCCCATCACATCCTATTCAGAGCCCCTGGCAAATAAAGAGGATGCAATCAAGGTTGAGAAACCAATGACTCCTATAGTAGATGAAAATAAAGAAGAAAGCAAAGAAGAAGAGAGAGGTAAGACTTTCTATACATTAGAGGTAGGCAGAGAGTTCAAGGGGCTGCTGCATGGAATCCAAGTTCTCTTGAAAGCTGTGTTTGTGTTGGTAAGCACAGCTATTTTTTGTTTTACTACAGCAAAATTAACTACTACAACAGTTTTCTTAAATGAAAGAAACACAGAAATAGCAAATGAAGATGATATTTTAAGTCTTTTTTTCCAGGTGGCGTTAAAATGTTGTTATGTATTTGGTTGCAAGCCACACAAGAAAACATAAGGGGCAGGAAAGTGATATACTCAAGTTTCAAAATGGCTTTGAAATAAACACACAAGCTGTTTATTGTGGGTTTTTTACATTTACCTTCGAAAACTGCTGATTAAAGAAGCAATTTATCTACATTTAAGTGTCCTTTCTCTTAAATTTCATTGGAAGTACAATACTGAGTGTAGTTGCAATAACTGGATATTTAAATGATTTATGAAGTCATAAATAGAGATTTAACAAGTAATGAACTGAAGCTAGTAATTCTAGTAAAGAAACCAATATTTGGAACACACACACATAGAGTCCTGCTGAAGCAGTAATCTTGTCCGAGAGTACAGTATTTAAATCACTATTTATTCTCTTGTTAAGAAACACAGAAGTTCAATTTTTAGAGTTTTAGGAATTCTTGTGGGACCCCTACATTCAGCCAATCATTTATAAAAGTCATGCTCACATAAAAAAGCAATGCATTATGTAAATAATTCTCTAATTGTAAAGCAAATGCAATTATATGACCTTCCTTGGTAGAACATATAGATCAATTACAGCTTCATATTAAAACCCAGACATGATCTTTGCTGGAAATCCAGATCAATACTAACTAGATCTTCCTAATGATTAACTCCTTTTGCCAAGCACATTGATACTGACTTAGTTGCAAACCCACGTTAGTAGTATTGACACTTTTCTTCATTGCAAACCCAGGTTACACTCCTCTTTGCTTATATTCAGCTTAACAGCATCTTCTCTCTCTCTCTTTTTTTAATGCAAATCCAAGTTGATACTAATCACACACCTCTTTATTACAAGTAATGTTAATGGTATCTGTGTTGTGTTTTATTACTGACAGTGATAATGTAATCAATATAATACTTACTTCAAATCCAGATAAGTGGTACTCCTCTCCTTCAACTGCAAATCCAGGTTTTATAATATGGACTCATTCTAATTGCAAATACCAGAGCTATTATGTTAGTTTCTTCCTAATAGAAATTATTTACATTTTATTTTACGCCTCATCAAAAGCAACTTTTGCACAAAGTGTACTTTCATATTTGTACATTTCCTTCTCTTTAATACTTTACTGTCCCCTACAGTGAGTGACTGTCATTTAGCTCTCAGTGGATAGATTAGATTTCACCATCTGTTCTACCTGGTATTAAAATATGCAGCATTAAGGAAGGTAATGTCAGAAAAGAGGTGTTCTTGGCACTTTTCCTGTCCCTTATTTAAAAGGTTCTGGGATCAACTAAGTTAAAGAGTCTTTCTGAACATTTCAGAGCATTGTGGTTTAGGTGTATTAATGATACTTACATATCCAAAGTTCATTGACGTTCATGGAAAGACACCCATTGACTTCAGTGGGTTTTGGATTGGGCCCATGACAGGAGGAAGTACTGTGTTGATTCTACACATGGGATAAACTGCATTTGGATAAACCTATACATGTTTCTTATAGTTTGTTTTGAAATGCACCCTCCTTTAAAATACCTCAGGCTGGGGAAATAAATCAATGCTTTTTAAAAATCCAGACAAGGGAAGGAAAATAAGGCTTTCCCCTTGTTTTATTTCATTCTAATGGGTATAAAAATGTGTAGATAATCTTCACAACACATGTTGTAAGCTGCTTTCAGGTTTGATGTGCACAGATGCTGCAACATTAGGTTTCAAAGTTAGTCAGCTTGTAAGATGGATCTTGAAAGGAAAGCGGGGTGGGGAATTGAACAGCAGTTGATGCAGATAAAATAGTACAATGAGTATGTCCCAGAGAGACATCTAATGGCAAGAGTTCACCTGGCATAAATAAGAGATTTTATGTATAACAGTGTCTCATCTAAGCAAAGAGCTGCCTCATAAACTAATTCAGTTCAATGTTTTCCAGCAGCACCTGCAGTACATTGGAAGTAGAACAAAATCACATATTTTAGACAAGCAACACTGAAAAAGAAGATAATACTGGAGTGTTATTCCAATGAAATAAAATCCAGTCATACTACTTTGGTTTGATATAAAAATTGTGCTTTTGATCTGTGGTAAAACTACATGTGTATTCCAATTTAAAGAAGTGCAGAATGCCATCCTTGTCTGCTCAACGTCAGTTCTGTTTTAGGACTAGGCTGAGATATTAGGCTCAACTCAGAGGGATGATATGTACCGTGTCACCCTAAGAGGAGTGATTGGATTAATGGGAGTTGTCTGTGACCATTCCACATTCATCAGTGGAGGTATGGGACCCGCTAGATGGATAATATGGGTCAGATTCCCCTTGCCAATGCAAACCCTGGATGAAGTGTTTCTGCATATTCAACCTCTCCTCCACTGATAGCCACCACAACCTGAAACATGATGGCCACTAGTGAGAGGACATGTCTACACTTACCGTGTATCGATGCTGCAACGATCGAGGTCGATTTAGCGGGTCTAGTGAAGACCCACTAAATCGACTGCAGATTGCTCTCCCGTCGACTCCAGCACTCCACCAGAACGAGAAGCATAAGGTAAGTCGACGGGAGAGCGTCTCCCATCAATCCAGCGCAGTGTAGACACCGCAATAAGTCGACCTAAGCTACATCAACTCCAGATGCATAACTTAGGTCGACTTACCCCCGTAGAGTAGACAAGGCCAGAGAGAGGGCATGTCCAGGACGGCTGGGTGAAGCAGCATTGAATCAGTGCATGCCTTCAGCAATCTCTGCTGACAAGTCTGTTATGGAACCCTTGGCAGAAACTAATGTTGCCATCCTGTGCCAGAATGCTAAGGGGCGGGCAGGTTGAAATGCCATTTGCCTTTCCCTGGGATGAGCCAGCAGCTTGCACTTCCTTGTGCCCATAGGGGTGAACCTAGGCTTATGCGGTGATGCATCCAAACACACACATTTTTTCTTTGGGTACATTTCTGATACTATGTAAAAATGAGATCTTTCATTTCCATCCCATATATTAAGATAGATTTTATTGGTTGAGGTTGAATATTTTGCATGTTAAACCTGGCGCATTTATATTTTGTAGTGCAAGCTTGGTTTCTCTCAATGTATTTTACAATGAAAAACACTTGGTGTGTGTTCTACAAAAATATTTTTTTCTGAAACACTGATAAAAATCAAGTTTAATATTATAGAGGTATCTTTTTTCATACTTTAAGTTAATATATTACTTGGGAACAAGGGGGGGGGAAGAGAGACAAAGCAAGATACATTCTAGAGTAATTTTTTCAGGTATTAGAATCCATTCAATTCTAGTCTACAAAACAATAATGAAAACCTGCATTTCTCATAAGATTAGGGAACAATCTCAAATCTTTTTATGATCGCTGACCAACTAGGACATATGGGAAATGCCATACAAATGCTTTTAATCTTCAATTTGGCAATTCTTATATATACGCTTGGAAATGTTGCCATCCTTTTGTAATGGATGGACGTGCAGGCTTTAGTGGCATTTTGAATCAGCACAGTTTTTTTACAAGGCTAATAATTTATAACAAATGAAAATGAAAGTCTCATTACTTGGATGTATATATAACTGTCCCCCACTCTGAGCCTACTCTCCCCACGTACATACTCAGTCTCTCCTTATATAAAGTGGATCGATGATTTCTCTCATCTGTCACCCTTAGAGCCCAGTATTATGTGAACAGAAGTATCCATTACTTGACTATTGTGCCCCTTTTCTGTATGTTGATTTGAATATTGTCTATTTTCTTATTGCCACCATGATGTTACCCTACAATTATTGGAGTTTTGGATAGCTCAAAAACATGTTTGTAATCTCCTCTTTTGTCAGAGCAGTTCTGTCGGAGATTACTGTCTCTTTCTTCTAGTCTGGAAACCAGTGCCATTTTCCCAACATCACCTCCTCAATTTGAGGTGAATATCCTCAGTAGAGATCCTGCTACTGCGACACCTGGGATGCTGCCCCACTCAGAAAAGTGAGAAAGTAAATTCAGAGTAAAATAACTGTGCTTTCCACACTCTTGTGTGCACAACGCACAGCTGCTAATTTAATGGAATAACTCTTATAAATGAAGGATCCAATTCGGGTAGCTGCTCACTGCCTACGCTATATAGTACAAATGTTTACTTTCCTGTATGGGGTCTGCAAAAGAGCAGAAGTAGAACTTCACTGAATAGTCAGACACAACCCACCACTGAAGGGCACTTTTTAAAGTGCTGTAATGAATCTACGTAGAGGCTAAGACATATTACAGTGTCCTACCTATAATTTTGATCCAGAGCTGCCAATATATCTACCAGTGGGTAGGCAAGTAACTGCTTGTCCATCATTTGATCCATTCTTCATTTGAACAGCTGAATTCCAGGTCTTTCACCCATAAATTCTTTAGAAATGAATAGGTGCCTTTGCAGTATAAACTTTGAGAAAGTTATATGTCCTTGAAATCTGGTGAGGAAAATGTCTCAATTTTTCTAATATATACTTGCTTCAAGGATTTTCACATACGTTTGAAGATATTGACAGAAGTCATAAATTCTTTGCAATGTCATTGTTTGCAATGATAAAGAAACAAAATAAATCTCAGAAAGATTTGAAACAAGACTGACATCTTTATTATGGAGCCACAGTAGTTGTAACTAGCTTTTTTTTTTATAAACCCAATTTCTCCTCACCTCCAACACCTTCTCCAAAGAGCTGAAATGGACAAGACGTGTGGAGAGGCGAGATTTTAAAAACTAGAAGTTCCTTGTTTTTTGGAAAAATCTAATCTATTTTGTAATTTCATGTATCTAAAATATC